TATTGTGGCCGTAGTAGTAGTAGTAGTAGTAGTAGCAGTAGTAGTAGTAGTAGTAGTAGTAGTAGTAGTCTTAGTAGTAGTAGTAGTAGTAGTCGTAGTCGTAGTAGTAGTAGTAGTAGTAGTAGTAGTAGTGGTAGTAGTAGTAGTAGTAGCAGTAGTAGTAGTAGTAGTAGCCATAGTCGTAGTAGTAGTAGTAGCAGTAGTAGTAGTAGTAGTAGTAGTAGTCGTAGTAGTAGTAGCAGTAGTAGCAGTAGCAGTTGTCGTAGTAATAGTGGTCGCGAAGGCAGTCGTACTTTTTCGAGTAGTGGTCGTGGTAGTAGTAGTAGCCGTCGTAGCCGCAGGGGTCGCAGTAGTTGTACTAGCTTTGCGAGTAGCCGCCGCCGTAGTAGTAATAGTACTAGTCGTAATAATACCAGTATTGGTCGCTGTGGTAGTAGTAGTGGTAGTAGTCGGCATCGTCGGGGTGGCGGTAGTAGTATCAGTTGTAGTAGTAGTAGTAGTAGTAGTAGTCGTAGTAGTAGTAGTAGTAGTAGTAGTAGTAGTAGTAGTAGTAGTAGTAGTAGTAGTAGTTGTAGCCTTTGTAGTCGTAGTATTAGTGATACCCTAGTAGTAGTAGGCGTAGTAGTAGAGTCGAAGTAGTAATCGCAGTCGTAGTAGTAGTAGTCGTATTTGTCTCAGCTGTAGATGTAGTGGTAGTAGTAGTAGGAGTAGTAGTAGTAGTAGTCGTCGTAGTAGTAGTAGTAGGAGGAGGGGACATCGAAGTAGAAGTACGTATAAAAGTAAAACTAGCAGTAGAAATAGACGGAGTAGAAGTAGCAGGAAAAGTAGTATCAAACGTCGTATGCCTAATAGTAGTAACCGGAGCAGTGGTGGTAGTAGTAGTAGTAGTAGTAGTAGTCGTAGTAGTAGTAGTAGTAGTAGTAGTAGTAGTAGTAGTAGTAGTAGTAGTAGTCGTAATAGTCGTAGCTGTGGTAGTAGTAGTAGTAGTAGTAGTAGTAGTAGTAGTAGTAGTAGTAGTAGTAGTAGTAGTAACCGTCGTTATCGTAGTAGAGGCAGTAGTGGTAGTAGTGTTTGCTTTTGTTGTTGTTTCCCTTTTCCAGACGCAGGCGTAGTGACGCTGCTCGACCAGTTTGAGCACCACGGCCCGAACGGCAAGCACGTGTGCATGGTCTTCGAGACCATGGGCCCGAACGTGCTCGCTCTCATCAAGCGCTTCAACTTCAAGGCCGGGCAGAGAAGCTATTCACGTCGCGACACGGCAGATGCAATCCCCACAGGCGCTCGAGTTGTCGGGGATACGCGACGAACTAATTGCCCAGTGGCGGGAGAGGGCGCGCGGGAGGAGAAGCGGCCGCGCAAGGGTGAGGAGGCGGAGGGGGAGGAGGAGGAGGTGGAGGAGGAGGAGGTGGAGGAGGAGGAGGACGCGGAGAAGGAGGAGGACGAGAATGATGAAGAGAATGAGGAAAAAAGTAGAATGACGGTGGCTGCCGCCGGTCCCGCTCGTGATCTTCGGAGGCTTTCCCTTGATGGGCTCCCCCTCCTCCTTCTTCTCTCCTGATAATTCCACCGGCCTGCTCCTTTTCCTTATTGGTGCGTTCTCTCATCCTGGAGATTTCGTTCCACCAGCGCTGGACTCGGACATAAGCAGGGTGGTTGTTCAGGTGTTCAAACAGGATCAGGAAGATGTTCATGAAGGTGTGACCCGTGGGACCCCTTTCTTAGAAGACATTTTCTTAGATGGCAGCCGTTTCAAAAGCGTGATGAAAGAGCTGAGTAGGTCTGGTTGGGGCATTTCCAAAACATCTGCTCGGACCACAGGCTCCTGGCCAAAATGTGCGGCCCTGTCTGGGCTGTTTTCTCGCAGACAGCCCAGGCAGATGAGTGCCCCTCTTTCGCCGCTGCTGTAGTGAATTTGGACGGAGGTTCTCGCTTGTTCAGCGATTGCGCCACTGTCGTCTCTGTGGCTAGTAGGTATCTCACCGTGTCTCGGGACACCGGGCATGTGCGGGTTCAGAGATGGAAGGTTTCGCGGGCGCGGTCGGATCCAACCGAGGGGTCACCAAAGTGGCTGCGCACAAGCAGCTCGATGAAGATGGCATCTCGGCAATAGAGTCTTACCGTCGGTGGGGGAACCACTCCGCCGACGAAGCAGCTAAGCTTGGTGTGTATCTCCATCCTGAGCCTGATCCTGATGTCAGGGACCGCATTGACCGGCACATCAGGGTTAGCCGGGCTGTGTGTAACTTAGCGGCCCGAGGTTTCCTTTTGTAGCCTAAGTGTGATCTCTCGGGAGTGGAATATGTCAAGCTTGTGCGCAGTGCTCGTGCGAAGGGTCCTGAGCACTTGTGGATCTGAGTATCTACGCACTGGCAGTGTGAAGCGTGTCTGCGTGGGAAGCGAGGTCCTCTCCGCCCCCCCCCAGGCAATTGTGTTTTGTCCCCTCGTTAAGATTAGCTTTTCAACGATCATGGGCATCGTCGTGCGCCTATAGATTGCTCAGATGGTACATTTCTTTGTGTTTGTCTGGATTGTCATGCCTACAGCTGTGGCGGTATAACTGTCAAGCTCGACAAGAGCTGCGACAGGAAACCAGCCGCAGCTGGGAATAATGCCTGGAAACACGTTTGTAATGGCAGGCATCCCCAGGAGAACGACAGGGTTAATAATGTTCAGTTTCTTCCCTCGCCCTGGTTCTATTGATTGGGGGCATGGAGCCGTTGAGGTTAAAATGTATGCTCCTTCTCCTCCCTCTCCTCCTCCTCCCCCCCCTCCTCCTCCTCCTCGGTTCGTGGGCCATCCTTCGTCGAGTTTCGTTGACCCTCGACCTCTGCAGGTTGCTCTCAGCTTTACGCCTCCAGGATCTGGTATCAGGAGACAGGCTATGTCGAAGACGGACTTGTGATTGAATAGTTGGTTCATGGGATGGTGTCGGGACTCTCGGGATCGCCAATGACGCTCCTGCCGCGCTGTCGCCGTCGCCGCCGGGTAGGAGGAGCTGGGAAGGCCGCCTGGGAAACTCCTGGGAACCGTCTTTGAGGCCAGCAGGCGAAGGTGTGCGGCCAATTTCGGTAGGCTTCCCGGGTTCCTGGTTCCGGGTTCCCTTCCCCGTTCCGGGCTCTTGGCGAAAACTGGCGGCCGATTTCGGTAGGCGGCCCGGGCCCCGCGTTCCCAGGTCTGGGTTCCCGGGTTCCCGGCTGTTGGTGCGCGTCCTATATTTCAGTGGGCTGCGGGGTTCTCGGGTTTCTGGGTTCCCGGGATTTTGGTCGATTTCCTAATCGATCGGTCTCTCCATCGATCTAATTATCCACCTCTCTATCGATATCACATATCACCATCGATCCCACAATCGATCTCACGATCGATCTCACTATAGATCACACGAGCGATCTCAGGATCCATCTCAATGAATCGACTTCACTATCGGTCTCACGACCGATCTCACTATCGTCCTGACTATAGATCCCACTTTCGACCTAACTATCGATCTATAACCGATCTCAATATCTATATCACTAACTTTTACATCATCCACTGATTGTTTTTTCTCTAATGTCCTTTCTCTCTTCGGAGGGGTCACGACAAATTGCTGTGGCATGCCTGGATACCTCAGGATGCGGCACGGTAGTTCTGGAGACCGAACCAGCCCCATCCAGAAGTTTTGCCCGTCAACTGCGCATCCCGAGTTCCCCCAGCCCTCCATTTCGCAGAGAGGAGGGGAGAGGACCGCTGCGTCGTGTGGGTTTTCTCAGCCCTGGCTCAGGGTGTTCCGCTCGGCATCGCCCGCAAAGTGGCGGCCCACACTCTTATCGGCCTGGACTACCTCCACCGTGTCTGCCACATCATCCACACCGACCTGAAACCCGAGAACGTCCTTGTCGGCTGCCCCCACGGCGTGCCGGTCAACAAGCACGGCATCCCGCTCATAGGAGGTTTCAGCCAGAGCGAGGTGGCCCACAAGCACGACACGATGTTGCAGCGGCTCATGTCCGACAAGGCGAAGATGAGGAGCAGGAATAAGGGCAAGAAGGCTGGCAAGGCTGGGGTGATTGAATAAGAAACTGCTCTTACTGCTCTCCAGGCCGCGCCCAAGGTGCGTTCTGACCATGGCCCTCCAGCCAAAAAGAGCAAAACGAGGGAAGGGCATCGGCATCGGTCGGTACACGTTCTGATCCCCACCCTCCTGTCCAGCTCTCCGCTCGGGATGGATCTCCGACGCCCCTTCTGCCCGAAGCTGGCCCCTGGATGCAACAAGCTCGAGGGGCCGGGATGCTCTTCGGGGTCGGGGAACACCTTAGTGGGCCTCGGAAACGGGGTGCCTTTACATGGAAACGGCAAAAAAACGGCGACCGGAAACGGCAACAAAAGCGGCTCCAGGATTGGAACCGGAGCGGGAAACCGTCAAACAAAGAACGGCGACGGAACCGGTGAAAAAACCGCGTCGGAACCGGCAACAAAAACGGCAAAACGGAACCGGTTAAAGAAACGGCCCTGTCTTTTCCAGGGCCCACTAAAGAACACCACCACTCGAGTCCGAAATCGGTGCCCGACCCTGCGACAGGCCGCCAAGGCCGCCGCGCAGCTGGGGCCGCCGCCGCCGCCCCGCCCGAGGGGCCTCGCCGAGCAGTACCTGGCTGCGCGGGGCTGCGTGGAGGCGGCCGACCCCGCGGCTCCCGCGCCGGGCGCCCAGGATGCCGGGGCAGAAGTCCGCGCGCTTCCCCTCCGCTCAAGCAGGGGCGAGCGTCCTGGCTCGCCTGAAGCCCTACCAAGCAATGTTCGGAGAACCTTTCGTTTTGTGGTTCCCACGGAGCGTTCTTCGGACATTGTTGGCGCATATTGTCTTGTTGTAACACATCGGGTCTACGTTCTAAGAACCTTGTTTTGGTTCTCAGAACATCTTTTGGGTTCTAAGCACATCTCCTGGCAGGACTGTAGGCATGCCGGGACGGTCGGTCCCTGCTCAAAGTCCTCCCCGGACGGGATCGCGTCGTAGCAGAGCATCC